TATATATATATATAATATAGCCCCTAATAAAAAATCAAATTTATCAAATTTTTAGTATTATACATATTAAAGCACAATATTTAAATGAAACAGAATTATGCTAATCGTACTTATCATTGCTACAATTAATTATTTAGTACTTAGTACTTATTCAGTGCTCTAGTTTGTAAATAGGATTATTGTTCAATTATTTTATTTAATTACACACACAGACTGATTAATATTATTTTTCTAAAATAATCAAATAACATAATTAACATATATGTGTAACTTGTACACTTAATAAATTATGCAGAGGCTATAAAAAACTTGTATATTTTAAAAATCAATATATTTACAATTTTGTACTTTGTTAATTAACAGCTATGTCTTTGTGATAATTTTTTCTATGGATAATTTAATAAATACATTTTCTAGATATATATGGTCCCTCATAAATTTTTTATCGAGTTTTATTTTATATCTTATTATCGGTACTGCTTATCAATATTGGTTTTACCTAAAGTTTGATCCAGACTCACAGCTTCTTTTTTGATCATGTTAAGCAATAATTGGGAACTCTCTAGAATCTATAATAAAACAAATATAACACTTAAGAAATGCGAGATTAACATTCAATTTAGAATAGATCACTCAACAATACTACCTTTACATATGCTGCCTCAGTGTCGGCAATAGTTCTATCGTATTCGTTTCTGACCGTGATTCTTTTTGCTAAGCTATCGTTCAATTGCGTAAGTTTACACGACATCTTCTCAATTTCGCGTTGCAAATTGTTCTTCTCTTCCTCCTGGGATTCTATTTGAGCTTGAAGTTCGAATCGTCTTACCTTCATCTCTTCTAAACCTAGAACAAATTTTTTTCTGTACATACATGAATGCAATAAAATAATTCCGTTATTGGAAATATCGAGTTATAATATCGCAGAATAAAGTAAGTTAAGAACATCAATCTGATGTTTGAATGACAATTTCTTTTTCGGGATTAAGATACCTTCAATATTGGGATTGTGTAGCAAAAGAATACTTGTATTATGTTTCAGGTATCTAAAATCGGATCAATTAAAGCTCAAACTTATGAATAATATCAAACATGAATTTTTAGGTTAAATGGGTTACATTTGACAAGCTCCTGATTATACGTTTGCAAAGCAGCTCCGTGTTGAGACATCGTGAATCCTCCATTCACAAAAAACTTCACATAAGGCGTATATATTTAAACTGATTTAAACGCGGATGATGTCAGGCGGGACTATCGAAAACGGCCGTTGTTTACCAATAACCACCAATAACGCAGAAACTTGGAACGTTCGGGTGGACAGCTGCTTCGGTTTTGGCGCGCGATTCCCGCTTTACGCATGCGTATCAGGAGTTATAAAAATACGAAGATTTCTCGTCCTTTTGCCGCGTTATGATCTATATTTTATATATACAAATCTAGAGACTGTACGAAATTGGATCTATAGGAACGGCGATGATTTTTTTTTTATTCATAAAATAGTCATTTTTTGTGACCGAGCTCTAAAAATCAACGCGATAAAGTAGAAGAGGATAATTGATGAAGGATTTGATTAATCCTTCGCAGCTTCTTTCGAGTTTTTGGGAAAGACAATGCAATTCATGATCAACGAAATCGATATGGCGCCTACTTTAATGGAATTCATTTTGCAGATTCTGGATATCCGAGAGATCGAGGCTCAGATTAACACTGGACTAGTTGCTTTCAAAACCAGTTTTCTTTTTCAGAGCTGGAACTGTATTGCATAACTACGTCCGATTGTAAAATTACTTTCGGGGCTGTGGAATATATATTCTTGTAGATATCAGAGTTATTATCATCTTGAAGATCACCGCAAATCTTTATCCTTCTTTAAACAAAAAATTGATCTGTACGAAAACATTCCGTAATCGCATATTCTACGTTTTTAATTAGCAATAGTTTATATATAGAATTATACTCTAATCCATCAGGCATATAAATATACCTACATTTATATTTATATCATTTATATTTTACAAAAAGAAAAAGTGCAACTCAATGAAAGCTCCATGTTTTATTTTTATTTATTGAATTGAAATGCGTTTTTTTGCATCATTTATATTTTACATTTCACGTATTTGGACGTATGTATATTTCTGGATAACGATATAATGCAACTTTTTCCTAAAGTGGAAACGTGAAAAGTGAACACTTTTCATATTTCTGTCTTGGGGGAAAAGTTTGCTAATTAATTAAAAATCTTGGAGTAGAATCAGATAGATCCCTTGGAGACAATCGCGACCTAATTTCACGTCCGTTAATTTATTTCGCGTAGAGGAGGAGGGACGCGTTGCGTCGCGCGTCGGATGGAGACGGTGGATCGCGGGCGGTGAGGACTGGCGAGGACTGGCGAGGACTAGTTAGCGCGCACACCTGAGCTCACCTTTTAAAGGCGTCAGACGGAAGCGTGCAAGCGTGCCGTGGTGGAAAAGCGCACGCCACGATCCACGATAAAACGTGCCTTTCGCTCGGCGACGCGCGCGGTCGACGTACATCGACCGTTCCAGCGATTTGCAGCGATTCCGATCGCGACTGCCGCGAGACGGGCGATCGCGTTGCTCCGCGTCCGCGACCGGGACGTGCATATATATTTCAAGTATCATTATATTGTATGTCGCGAATCCGCGCCAACGCCACCAGAATCGTCGCGAGTGCTTTTCGACCGAGTGCAGGGACGATCGATCTCGAGAGGAGGAAGTGAGGAAGAAAAAGAATACTCGCGGCACGTGATCGGTATGTCGCGGCGATCCAGGCACGTCTGCACGAGGAGTCGAGGAATCACCTGCGGGTAAGGATCAATATGGGGGAACGTCGTAATCTCCCAAGTGAACTCGGGCCCAGCCAGCCGCAGTAATCAGCGTTCGAGAGCGATCTCGATCCTGCACGCTTGCAACCAAGAGATTTGACGCGAGCGCGTAGGTGCGCAACAGCGCACTGTGCGTCCTTGCAATCCCTCGTGATCTTGGTCCCGCCGCGCGCTTTGCTCCGACATTTCTTCATTGACGTTTCCTCCTCTCTTTTCTTTGTTTTTCGGGAATTTATATCGTGCCATCGTGGGAGGATGGTGCGCGGCGCGCACGAGTCGCATGGATCTACGGCGCCTGCGCAACCCGCCGCTTCGTCTCCTGCGTGCACCATTTAAAAATTCCGATTAACGCGAGAAAAACATAAAGCAGGAGTTTAATAACCGGTTGGCTGACGAGAGTGAACGTATTTTAGAGGGCGGATGGCCTTTAATTAATCATCGATGCTGTCTGTCGCACACCTTCCTATAAAGAAAAATTTTCCTATTAATCAATTCGAGGGAATCATATCAATTTGCGAATTCTACAAAAAAATCGAATTTTTTAATCTGTGCCACGGAAGTTTGCCGTTCAATTTCAGAGAAATGATAATTTCTCATCATTTATTTTATAATTAAATATTTATTTATTATCTCATATCGCTTTTTTATATTAGAGATCAAAGACCACAGGTATTCGTAGTTTATTCTTGTATTTAAAACTGTCTTAATTAATTAAGTAATGTCTCAAGATGCTAATTGATTCTGTGATGGGCTTATGACATCTTAAGACCGTCTTAAATACAGAAGAATCGATTTGTAAATATGCCGGCCAAAAAAATCTCACGACGCGCTAAACACACGTGCACATTTAATAAAGATGTAATTGCGACAGATGGGATAATTTGTTGTGAAACGAACAATAAGAAACTACCTTGAAAGAATTGCGAGAGAACGATCAACGAGAGGCAAAGAGTTATATATGCGCATTATGTATTGATCGAAGATGTTGCACATGTCCTTGCCAAGTGACATCATCGTACTAAATAAGGATTTGCCCAATGCGATGAACGCGTCGTGGGCACTGCCTACGGTCGCGAGACAATCCCATAATGATGCACCGTTTTGCAATCTTTATGCGCAGGCAGCATTTAAAGGAACGCCACACCTTACGCTAAATTTATATTCAATCACGAAGGACTAAAGCATTTTTGTTGCAGGTTGACGGTGTAAATGATGCGTATGACGCACAATTTTCTTTTAAAATATGCAATATATTTTAAGTAAGAATGGAAACGGATACGTTTCTACGTTGATGCATCCGTGCAGAGTAAGTATAATCATTTCGTGCTTTTTTTTTATTCTGTGACTACTGTAACAATTCTGATAATCGATTTGTCGATAAACTGATATTTACTTCTGTTTTAGATGAGCTGAAGAAGCTTTATTAATTAGTTACTTGTCTTTGACTCCTTGTGCACAAGTCGACGACTGATACTTCAAAATGCATACTTCGAAATATGCTGGATATCACATTAACGGAAATCGTGATTACATTACAGATGGTGAAGAGAGCCATAGAGCTCCTTCGGACCGTACCATGTCCGAGTATATCGTTGCTAACGAGCATACCACTATGGTAATGCATTTTATACTTACGATGGCAAAGACATTCTTTTAAGCTTAAAGCGTCTTTTATTCTACATATATTAGTGTACACAATGTAGAATACATACGCCTTCTTATATGTACATATATAACGTATATTTAAATTATAATTTTTTAATTATTATTTATAATTTTTTTCTCAAACTCTTCTTTTATAGGTAAAACCTACAAGAAAGAATCCCGCGGACAAGTACGACAGAGAAGAAGACAGAAGATCCAGAAGTGCGCACAACACTCGCGACTCGGTCCTGTCCGGATCTTCGAAGCATAGTTTGCATCCGCTTCGCAAAAGTGCCTCGCATGGCAGTATTTGTGACAATGGTTCAGATATATATGTCACCAGTGCTGCATATAGAGCTACTTCCGACATAAGGTCGCTCAGATTTATAAACGCGTAGCATTCAATACCCCGTAAATATACCTGTAATCGAAAATGTATGTTTTGTGTTATAGTCGGGTATCACGCCGTAGTCTCGCACCAAGCTCCAGATTGGACCACAGAGCGCCTAGTCATTATAGCTACGGTTCCGGCAGGTCAGGCACTTCGACAGTGAAAACTCGTACGTCACGAAAAGGCGGTATTATTGTGGAAACTATGTCAACGCCTAATCCATTTTGCCCAAACACTAAGGGCGTCTGCTGCCTCATGTTACTTCTCAATCTTGGTTTGATTCTAGTTACTTTAGGTTTCGTTATCGTCATACAATTTTTCCAGCCGTTAGTCGTTTGGTAAGAGTGCTGTGTGATCAATTTTTACTAAATATAAATTAATTCCTAAAGATTCCTTAATGATACAAAATGGTTGGATATAATAGGGCAATAGGAGTCAAGCACGGTAATTCTCGTGCAAACCAATACGGTTAACAAAACAACTTTATTAATAATTAATTCGCTTACATGCTCACTTTTGAGCCATCCTCAGAAACAATATGATGTTGTAATTACAAAAAAATTTTTTTTTACAAACTAATTCATTTCAGTGAGCCACCTCCATCTATTAACGGAAACTGTAATATAAAAACAAACTCTAATAACGATCTAAAATATATTAAAATTATTAAAAGATAAATTTGTTGGAAGTAAAAACGATTTATTGTAAAATAATAGAAGGTAGCTCACTAAAACAAAAATTCACCATATCGCAAATACTTAAAAATTTTATAGGTTTAGTCAAAAATCAGTCTTTGACCATTCAGCGAATCAGTGTCAATTATGTTGAAATTAATAAATAACTTTTAATACACCTGAACGTTAATAGGGAGAAAAAGAAAAAAGAAGGAAAGAAGACTCTGATATTAATTTATAGTCCAGACGGACATCAAAACCAAAACTGAATCTTTAATAATTTAATTTTAATGTAACAAAGAATGTACACTGATCCGTTTTTGCTTCCAACAAATTTACCTTTTAATAATTTTAATACATTTTAGATTGTTATTAGAGTTTGTTTTTATATTACAGTTTCCGTTAATAGGTGGAGGTAGCTCACTGAAATGAATTAGTTTGTAAAAAATTTTTTGTAATTACATCATATTGTTTCTGAGGATGGCTCAAAAGTGAGCCGAAACACGTAAGCGGATTAATTATTAATAAAGTTGTTTTGTTAACCGTATTAATTGGTTTGCACAAGAATTACCGTGCTTGACTCCCATTGCGCTGTTATATCCAACCATTTTGTATCAATTTTTACATCGCACATACGCGCGCGCGATTTAAAATTTATATAAATATATATTAAAATAATTATAATTACTTCGATTATAAAAAAGACAAAATTGCAAAAGTTTTATATATATGTATATCGATTTGTATTTCTAATAATTAATAGCAAGGAATTGAAAGCACGATGTATAAATTACACAACTGTATTCTATAAACTTTTATACATAATGCATTTTTTTTAGGATCTTGGGAATAGTATTTCTTGTGTTTGGATTTTTGACACTGATCGGTAGTCTCGTGTATTGCGTACATGTGTTCAAAAATGCCAGACATCCACAAGATATCAATCCAGAAGATCTATACTGGACCCATTACTGGCAAGGTCGTGTTGGTTCTACAGCACCTGAAGTTTATTATAAAGCCGAAGACAAATATCAGGATGATAACTATAGCGATCGATACAGCAAATACTCGGGAAAGTATTATGACAGGCAAAATCAAAGATATTAATATTTTGGAATATAAAGAATAGTATCGATCATTAATTAAAGTACCAATTCACATACATTCTACCAACTCGTAAGATTTGGAAAAACCAATGACGAATAAAAAACTAATCTCAGTGCAATAAAATATACTTATGTATACTTGTGCATAGATATTGTACTAACATTATTTTTCCTTTTCCAGAAAATACAAATTGTCAATGTATTTTATACTTGTTATTTGTATAATACTAATATAAATCATCTGAAAAAAGAATAATTTCTTTTTCTGAAAAATGACATACAGAAATTTCAGCGTTAACTTGGTAATTCGCAATTTAGTGTATCGATATATTAATAACATCTTTCTAATAATAGATAATTCTAAGCATATATTTATATTTTATACATAAAGCATAAATATATGACGATAATGACATTTTTTTAAATAAACATGTACAATGTATTATAGCAAAAGAACATATTCATAATAATACTACATATATCCATAAAATTAAATAATTATCTTAGTGTATAATCAAAAAGTTCTGAATTTACAAAAGTGCCACTTCTACTAACTAGGTAATAAAAAGATCTATTTTCTATTTTAAGTGGTAAATATACTCCTGTTCCATCCTGTCTGTTTGCGGTACACCTTACCTTAAAAAGAATTTTTCAAATGTAAGAAACATGTCAAATAAAAAGTTTTATTTTTTATTTTCGTATTCACGCTCTAAAATTATTATATATTATTATTAATATTATGTATATGAAATTAATTATACATCAAATATTATAACTAACTTTATATTTATAATTATTATGTAAATGTTTCTTATACCGTTCCTACTGGTAAATTTAGTTTGGATTTCTTCTTTCGCATATGATAAGTACTAATTGAAAGTGTTTCACCACCTTTATTTAAAATAATGTATTTGATGCTACGAGCGCACGTAGCATAAATGTAAAGACATATAAGAGGACCTACAAAATAAATACATTAATCTCAAAAAGAATAAAACCTTTTTAAAAAAAAATTTGCTCCATTTTATATAAAGGATTATTTAGCAAATAAGGTAAAAATAAGAATTTTCGCATAAGTAAAACATGCATCTCTATATATGAAATATTGTTACATACATATAAATATAAAAGATAATTCTTACCTGCCATAATTGTAAAACAAAATATGCAAAATCGAAACATGTAGTTCACAAAATGTTCTTTTAAGTTTACATCAGCCCTGTATATATCCCAGAATGATGAAGTATAACTATAATAAGCCAATACTGAACAACAAAATAATTGTACAACTCCAAAAATCCGCATATTTCGGAAATATTTACTTCCTTCAAATTTATATAAAATTACATTGTTCTGTACATTTGTGTTTACATCCAATTGTGACATTTGCCGACGCTGTATTAATAAATTTTGTACCAATTTGTTTGGTTTAAGGAAACTTGTTTGTCGTGTTGCTCCAGCAGATAATCTACATTTTTTTTATGTCATTTTATAAGATTTTATATATAACTGTAAAATATACAGGAAATCCTATAGTTAATTTTAGCTTCCATTTGAAGTTAATATTTTTTAATGTAAAGTAATCAAATGTCATTAATTTTCAAACGATCGTCAAAACAATATTGATATTTCGACATAACATTCTACTTTTTGATCTTTCTCTTTCATTTCTAATTCAAAGTAACCAAATAGCGATCAAGAATATCCTGTATATATTTATATAAATATTCTTTTAATAATCAATTATTAAAAATATTTCTAGATATATATTATTCTTATATATTTTATTAAAAGTTTTATTATAATTATATTTTTTACCTTATGCATCTCGTTAGAAACATTCTAACGGTCACTGCCGTTGAAAATATATTCTTGTCACGTATAAAATATTTTTGTGTGATTTCACGGGCAGATCGTACTTGAGTTAGTAAAGTTTTAGGAATAATAGAATGCCTCAAAATTAGATTTAACATTTTGAAATTGTTTTCGTTCTATGTCACAAAAGGCAACTCTAGAAATTTTATAAAATGTTAATTTGCTTTTAAAATCATTTTCCTATACATAACATTGTATTTTTATTTACAAAAACATTTACATTTATTTTAATTTTGGTTTTCTTTTTATTAATAATAAGGTAATCCAAAAAATACATGTATATATACATATATTCTATAATTTTATATAAAAAATTATGCATAAAAAATTACTATATTCTTACCAAGTTCTTCTGCTGCAATCTGTAAAAATATATATTTTATTTATAAATAGTCAATTCAACAGTAATAAAATTATAAGTAAACTTTTTAGGCTAAAGGTTAGGAAACTCGTAGAAAAAGGTAAACACGAGGATCTGATATCTGATCTCTATAGCTACACTATGTCGTACTTTCTGCACTTAAAATAAGATAAATACAGAGTTGAAGAAAAAAAGAGAAATAATAAAAAAATACAAAGCGTTCGATACAAAAAATGACAAAGGACAATCTCAATTGTTTAATTGCGGTTTTCAAGTGCGGTAAAGTGTGAGTAGGATGAACAATTTACGTTGATCTTTTGTTGACGCTCGTGCACATATATATTTGCGAGCATCGTTTGTCCTTATTTAACATTTATTAGATAAACAAAGAATGAAATGAAAGAGCATCGCGAGTAATTGCGAGCGTCAATTCGTCAAGTGGTGGAGCATGCAGTCTCTACTTTCGTTTTTTATATTTAGGCTTCTCGCTCTCTTTATCTTCAAGGCCTACTTATACATTTAGAGAGTGCAAGTAAAAGCAGGTAAAAGAAACTTATAAGAATGAGTCTACTGTCTAGTCCAGCGACTCTCGTAGTTCGTAGTGTCGACTGTCGTAATTGCGAAGTGAGGAAACACATAACACACGTTCTCTTTTAGAGTATCAGAGCAGAGCAAATCAATCAGGGTGTTCCGAAATTCATTGAAAGATAACGTGGAAATTAATCCGTTGACGGCAGTTGACGGAACGTACGTCGGTCGTCGGGCACGAAAGCGAAACCACACGAAACGAATGGACACGAATTGGCACGAATACGTGCCGCTTCCGAGATGCGATTCATGCAACAGCTCGTATCGTATTTTTACCGTGCGTACAGGTGTTGCGCGACGCGAACGCGAATGACGCGATGCAGTTGTACTCGTTCTCGTTCGTGAACGGCCTGATAGAGTGGCGGAGGCGGACTACGTGAATTCGGTGAATTCTGATCAATTCTAAAATCTAACCTCGGTCGAACTCGCGTATCCTTGACGTGACGTCGCGACGACGGCACTGACGACTCTCACGAGTGCTCACGACAGTGCAGTAGCTGACAGGTATCAGCTGTTCCAGTAAATAAACCGCGCGTCGACGATGGACGACGTGGAGGATACCGCGCGAGACGACCCGGGCCGGGCCGGGCCGTCCGACGAGGACGTGGAGGACGTCAGCGAGTCGGACGACGGCAGCGAGTATTCGTCGCGTAGCGAGGGTGAATTCAACTGGTACGTTATGTCGGACTCGATTCTCCTGAGCATCTTCCAGTACCTGACGCCGAGGGAATTGCTGACCGCGGGCGAGGTGTGCCAATCGTGGTTCAGAGTGTCGCGCGATGAGTTCCTCTGGAAGTATTTATTTTATCGCACGTACAAGATAGATCCGGACGTCGGCATTGTGCCAGGTATGTCTTGCCACTAAGTATTCGCGGCACTTTTACGCGATCGAAAATAACATTCTCCGCCGGATATTGCGTGGAGAAAATATAAATTTGTACCGTCTATTTTCCCCGAGAAGATCCATTCATACTCGGAGCAAAACTGTTAGATTCGACCAAATCGGACAATGATTCCACACATGGCATTTATGAAGACAATAAATGCAAAAGTAATAATAATAGAATAATAAAACAGTATTTAAAGTTAAAGAAATATGTGTACAGCAAAGTAAACTTTTTTTTTTAAATGAGTTAATTTGTAATTCATGAATTCCTAATTATTCAGATTAGTATAGCAACGTTCATTGATTGTTGCTTTTTTAGAATGCTACTTTTGTCGTTACATATTCTTATAAAACAATCTTGTTACTAACGATACATATGAAATTTGTACATTTTCAATTTTTATCTTTTGACAAATGATGTTTCAGAAAATCTTTTTATGTACATTAGAAAAATTTCATCTTATAATAATATATAGATATATAATTAAATTAATTTTTTATTATTTTATATGCATATGTATATATTTGATCAATATTCTTTATATTTATTATTCTTTCGTAGGAAAAACCTCCTGGTTGGGCGAATTCAAACGCTTGACATATCACACTCCATTGATAGAAACTGAAGTTCTTAAAGAACATTCACATCAGGTCTTACACGTGAGCTTTTCTCATAATGGCAAAATGTTTGCAACCTGTTCAAAAGATGGATATATTCTTGTAAGCTCTTCTTTCATTTTGCAATTATTACTTTCTCTCATATACTTACATTTATCATTCGCATTATTTTGTTTTAGGTATGGCAAAGTCAGTATCCTGTTACCATAAAATATTGGCATGATATGAAGACGTTTAGTTGGAAATATACACAATTTTCCCAGTTTAATTGTACAGATACGTTACTTCTTGTGTCTGGTGTCCATTTTGGTACACCCCATAGTACTTCGGGTGAAATAGCAGTATTCAGAGTAGCACGTAAGTAAAATTAAGATCTTATCAATAAGAAAATAAAGAATATACGACTAAAATAAATCTTAAACTGGGAGTCAACAAGATTATCCGACGATAGATTTTGATAAAAGAAATTATAACTCTATCCGATACATGCTTATATGTGTTTTTTGTCTATTTGTAGCTGGATTTGATCTCCAGTGTAGAGTAGTGAATAAGCCGTATGACATATTTGGTACATGGTACAGTGAACGTTACCTTTTAAGTGGAAATCTACATTGGTTGGCACATTTGGTTAGTACTAGCGTAGTTTGGCTCAATAAGGCAAACCAGGAATCAGCTAGCGAACATGTGCCTATTATGACGCAACTCTTTAGGTAAAGTAACAACTCGGTATATTTTCTTAATCGATCTGAATCTTTAACTTCTTGTTAAAAACATAAACAAATTTTCTTAAATGGATTATAATTTTTTTTTCATGCAGTTGTAATGATTTTTCAGGTTCTATAACGGAAATGCTTCCTCGATTAGAGCGATTATGGTTGCAAATTGTTTAGCACCTGCTCCAGCTGAATCTACAGAACAACAGAGCCAACCATCTTCCTCAAATACAAAGGAAGAAAAAGGAAATCCACCAAGTCACAAGGATTTGTTGTCTCCTTCAGGCGAATCTAACAGCTCGCAAAGTCAAGAAGAACCAATATACTACATTTCATCATCAAGAATACAGTATGTAAAAATTTCTTTTTTTTACGCACAATGTGGTCCACTTAGATTGAAAACGTTGACTATTTTACTTATTTTTGATAATACGAAAAAATGTTTTAGATGAAAATGAGACAGTTTTGAGAGGGAAATTATTAAGGTAGAGATATCAGAAAACTAATATATTTAATCTTTCATGTTAAAATATGTGCTAAAATAAAGTATAAAATATCTCATTGGTTTTTTCATATTTCTACCTTTTATACGCAGAATAATTAGAGAAATCATATTATGTAAAAAAATTATATAATTCCATTTTAAAAAGTAAAATCTTCATATAAGTATATCTTCATATCTTCTTGGCACTTCCACCTAGAAAAAGAACAACGTAACCGAAATACGTTCCTTTTATATGAAATATTTCTTCGTATCAAAAATAAACGAAGCATTTAAGGTTTTGAATTTAAGGATAGATCACCCTGCATACATTCTTGTTGGATGTTAATATACATAATATATATACATGATAGATATAGTAAATTAGAAGGTGCATTTTCGAATTGGAAGAAACTTGGTGATGGTTTCGAATATGCTAGTCCTATACAATACAATCAGGAATATAGGCAGGTTGAGATGCAGAAGAAGGCACACGAAAGCGATAGCGAAAGTGAGAATCCGCAATGGGAGGAGGAGGAGAGCGAGTCTGGAGGTAGGCAAATTATGCATGTAATGCATAGCAATAGGAAATAACTGTAATCGGCTATCCTAATCACTGTGTAGGATATGACAAAAAATGAGTTTACAGAATCTTCAATAACCGAGGAATGTGATACAGACGAGTTAGCCAATAATCCCGAAAAACTTCTTATCTTTACAACTGGCTCGAAAACATATACTCCGCATAAAGTTGGTTTTAAGAGGATCAAATTAGTTACTTTCCCACGAAGATTGGATCCGGGACCATCACTGCGCGAGAGAATAGCTCAACAAAAGAGGGAACGAGAGAGACAAAATACTCCGTCAGTAGAAGATTGGTTAAATTATGAATCTGTGGCGGATAAATTCGATAAAATAGATCATTTAATTGATCTTCATGGTCACATTATTGGAATGGGACTTTCCCCCGATCATAGGTCAGTTGTAGTTGCATAGCCATGTAGAATAAGTGTACTTGAGATGTATAGACATTTAATTATGTATGTATTATTCAGATATCTTTATGTAAATTCGAGGCCGTGGCCGAAAGGTTACGTTATTACCAATCCTTTACAACCACCGCCGATAGCTCAAGAAATTGATATCCATGTAATCGACTTGGTAACACTGAAGCAAGTTGGTACAATGTTAAGGGCACACAAAGCATACACGCCTAATAACGAATGTTTCTTTATATTTCTGGATGTATGTAATGAATACGTAGCAAGGTAATTAATACGCTTGTATTTAATTTATTAATTTAATCAAGATTTAACTTTTCAAAATATAAAATACAATTACTATAAAATATTTTTGTTTGCAGTGGTGCGGAAGATAAACACGGTTACTTATGGGATAGACATTATGGAATCTGTTTAGCAAAATTTCCCCATAGTGATGTAGTCAATTCAGTGGCTTTTAATCCACGCGATCCTGAGATGTTAGTTACAACCAGTGATGACTATACAGTTAAAATATGGCGAAGTCGGGCTATGGTAAAGGCTTTAGATTTAGATGAAAAGTCTTATTGTAGGGGGATGGAAGTGCGAAAGAGACATAAATATCAGAAATGCGGCACTAATGTTGACTGATTAAAAACTATTAAATTTCTAATTTAAACATTTATTTTTACAAGATCTTAGAGATATATTTTACATTTAAGTTTTAGTGTATACTATACAAAATCGTCCAGAATACTATTATTGCATAAAAACACAAATATGATAAGAATATATTTTTTGATTACCTGGGATTATGCAGATTACATATGCAGACTTTCATTTTTTGGTAATATAATATAGAGAATCTCATTAGACGAGTACTTCTATTTTGAAAAAAATAAAAATTACTAAGAATGTTGTTAAAAGAATGAATATCATAAGAATATATTGTTGACACACGTCTGTTATGATGCAAAATTAGAAAATAACTTACGAAAGATTTTAAAATTTTATCATCCATTCAAAAATAGATTATTATCAAACTATTTTTAAATTTTCAGAACTCACAAACTAATATTAGATCAGCGATTTGCCTAATGATAAAAAATCTTATCTGCTTATTCCTATTCTATGCACATTAATGATTTCTCAAGATATTTTTTTTATTTCAGCTTAAAATCTATAAAGTCTATATATATATATATATATATATATAAAATCAAAGACTCAATGAATCACAATTAAAATTTCGGATTTTCTTATTAATCTATTCTGTATTTTATGTATATTTGAAATATTTACAAATTTCATCTACCTACGCTTATATTAAATAAAGGGAATAAATGTAAATGTGCACTATTTTGTATCTTTTCTTTGTCATATGTAATACGACATAATTATTTATAATTATGGCGTACAACAATGCATGCCGTAATTTGTAATACATTATTTCATTTCTTGAGCTTGCATTATAGAGCAATTGCATTGTAAGATTATAAATGTAATAAATCTCTCTCAAAAAAAAAAAAAAAAAAAAAGATTAAATTTTGACATATATTCCTAATTTTTCTTCATATCAGAATATGATTGCAAACTTGATTTAATAATAATTAAATACATGAATCAATATTATTATAAATCACAAAATAATGTATATTTTTTTCTAGCGCATAAAATCTAGATCTCTATATTAGATAAATAATAAATAACAAACAGTACATGTAAAGTAGATAACATTAATCGGACGTAAACATATAAGGAATGATGAAATTACTTTTCAAAGAATGTTGAATAATTTACTATTCGCAAGACATGTATAATGATTAACAATTTCAATAATATTTATAATCTTCTGCGCGATTAAAGCACTGTAATATAAGTACATATACTAGTGCAAAATCATATTTAAAGTTTGTGTACCTAAAATGACAACGCAACATAACTTCATCTATATTGTATAATTATAATATTTTAATCATGTTATATATATTATGACTTACCTAATATCATCTTTTTCTGTATTACATACTGTCTCGAGAAATATAAAGGAATTTATTTTCCATTTAGAGAAAAATTGTCAATAGGGGTATATAAGCATAAAAACACTTATGTTGAACCTGTTGCAATCGGTTCTGTAAAAAGAATAGGATAAGAATCAGTAAGAGTAACAGGTACAAATATATATATCTGATCTATTATAAAAAAATTTACCAGGATGTGATGACATTCCTTCTCGCGCAGGATCACCAGGTTTAGGTAAGACTTTCTTATGAGCATCTTTATGTCCATGACAATGTTCGCATTCATCATCACTATCTTCAGAACTACTTTCACCAAAAATTTTTGGTTTCTCATAAATACAACAACCTATAAAAAAAATTATGTAATTAACTCTTTTTGATAAATGAAACCTAAAAGATTACATAGAAATAATAAATACTTACATTTTGATTTCTTTTTATTTAAATTTTCATTATCTACGGTCCCTTGTGTCCATTGGACCTTTTTATTTGATTTCGGCATTCGTAGACGTAATCGTACAGTAGGTACATCCTGAAAAAAAAAAGTGAAATTTTCAATAACATAAAGTGTATTATTAATCCGGTTATAAATAGTGACTATGAGAAAGATATTTGTTATAATATATATATAATAAAAAATTGTTAATGTAAGAGTAAAAAGCAAATAAAATTAAAAAATTTTTATTTTCATTATAACTGATTACAAAATAATAATTTTATAATATATTATAAAGTTTTAACTGAATTAAAATGTTTTAAACTCTAATGAATTAAATCGAATATCATAAAAATGCTAATATTTATTTTTAATTTATAATTTAAATTACCAATCTATTCTCCTTAATTTATATATTAGTCATTATTATATTATATATATTAAAATATTTT